AAAAAAAATTGGGTAAAAAAATAAAGCTGATTCCCTCTTTCGACTTTTCAGATGAATCGAAATTAAAATATTTAAATAATTAAGAACACGTAGAAACAGACAATTTAATGATCTTAGAGTGGGAAAGACATTTCTAAGCACGGCACGAAAACTACAATCGGTGAGGAAAATCATGATAAATGTGAACACATCAAAATTTTAAATAACACTGGAAAAAATCCACACCAGATAACACACACACTAACTCCTGCCCTCCCTCTTTCTCTCTCTTTCTCTCTCTTTCTCTCTCCGTCCACACCAAAAAAAAGATAAATGATGACCAACTAGGGTAAAATATTGTAAAGCATTTTACAAAGAGTTAAAACTTCTGGTTCCCAACGTTTTGTGGTAACTTTTTATGTTGAAAAATATAAGACTTACAGATAAATCGCAAGTATAATATTCTTACCCAGATTACTAATTGCTAATGTTTTACCATATTCGTTTTATATTCTCTCTCTCCATATGTATGTGTGTGTATTTATTTATTTATGAACCACTCGAAATTAATTGAAAAAGACATGACGTTCCTTCACCACTAATTACTACAACACATAATAAATAATCCAGAGTTTTTACAACTCTACCAAAACAAAAGTAGTTTAACAGAAAAGCGTGGGCAAAGAACAGGAGAAAGTGTAAATGGTACATTGAACACAGCGAGCATCTTTACTTAGACTCCCTTTGCCCCTTTAAAATTTATTTAGAAGGTGAGCTCTTCCCCTGACCCTAAGTGAAAAACTTGGGCAGCACCGGAACATTTTGCTCCCTGTAGTTAATATCATAATTACTACAATTATACGGTCACAAAAACGTCTCAGTTCAGAAATCGGAATATCTATTTCCATGCAACAATCACGATGCTAAACTTGATTTAAAGGAAAACATCTCCCCTCTGCTACCTAGGGCTTTTGGCAAGCGGGAGGCCTGGAAGGAGGAAGCCAGGCAGAACCAGCTGGGGCACATTCGTAAAGGAGAATGTTGTAGATAGAGCTAATTAGGGAATTGGAGCCACACGTATCACTGCAGATAAAACTTAAAAACTGTTGAACAGAAGAAACGAGAGGCGGAAGCGTGCTTGCAGAATGACGCCGCCTGGTTCCGCCAGCCCCTGGCCCAGACCCGGGCATGGGCCTGATCGATGCTCAGACATGTTCCAGTGACCTGGGACGTGCTGCCGTTACGGCCATCGTCATAGACAGAAGCAAAGAGTATTTTCGCCCCAGCTGATGCCCAAGGAAAGGAGGTTTTTTTTATGGTCTCCCCGTGCCAGATAAAAAGGCAGGCATGAACCCTGCAAGCCCCTCCCTGCCCCGGGCCCCACGCTCCGCACCTGGCAAGAGTCTACGCCCCATTCCGAGGTGGCGCACAGCACGTCGTTCCCGATGAACTTCCTCTGGTCCTTCAAGAAGAGGAACTGGTACCGCTGACGGCAAATCCTATTTTTTATGATCTTGACAGCCACCTCCTGAAGACTGTGGGAGGCGTTTGGGGTCACTAAAGAGAGAGAGAGATCCTGCCTCATCCATCCCTTCAGTGATTTGGCACAACCCCATCTTTGGGTTATCCACATTCCCCAATGTGGGGGGGGCAGGGCCATTCGGTGGGGTGGTGGTTTATAAAGGCCCGGCTGCAGCCTGCATTTTGAAAAAGCTCAAGCTCATTAAAAAAACTAAGCAAAATCTCCCGGGGGGTTCAGAGCGACATCCAGGCACCAAAGGAGGACGAGGAGCAATGACCCTAGTAATTCAGGTTCCATGAGGGTGAAGGGCTGAGCACTGCTCCATGGCTACCTGGCAAGGTGGCAAGACCTTGGAGCCCAGAGTGAGCCACCCCCTGGAAGGCAGGACCCCACAAAAGCTCCTAGATCCTAGAACCCCAGAGTGACTCCGACAGAGGGCAGACCTCCAGAAATTATTGTCGCCTCAAAGTAACAAGCGTGTGTGAGGGCCATCCAGGGCCTCGGCTCCTCCTAGACGTGGCTGTTGTGCCACCTGCAGGCAGGGAGCCCCATTCATAGTGAAAGGTTCATCTCCTGCCATGCTGCAAGGTGAGGGCGTGGCTTTCCATTTCACTTTGGAAACTGAGGTCCATGCCGGCCACGTGTGTCTTTCACACTAGAGCACTGCGTGTACCTTCCCATCGACAGGGGTCAGGAGAGTGTGCGGCAGGGGCAAGTGCTCTGGAAATGTCTGCCGACGGAGTGAACGAGTGAATGAAGGAATGAATGAACCAGCCCGTGGCGAAGTTGCCTCTGAAGAGGCGGGTGTCTTGAAAACTGCGCCTGCCTCCACTCACCTCGATTGTTTTTAAGTCCCCACACGATCGTCCAGCACAAGGTTCCAATAGATGGCTTGAGTTTGGTGCTGGGTAGGCAGACGGGCTGGACAAGGGGGGACCAGAAGATGGGGTCCCTGAGCTTCAGGAGGGCGATGTCCTCCGAGATGAGGTTGTTGAAATCCTCGTGAATCACGATGCGAGAGAGCGGGAGCTGAGTGCCGTTTTCCGGGAGGTGCTGGACGCCCACCATCACAGAGTACTCTTTGGGGTCTATGGACCTGCAAGCAGATTGCCAGCAGTGAGGCCATGAGGGGTTGGGGAGACACGGGCCACCCAGCCAGGCCCCTACTCCCAGAACCCCAGATTCACCAGAGTCCCCCACCCCAGGCCACAAAGCAAAGCCCCTGGGACCGGCCGGCCACCCTGACTGACCTCTGCAAGCAGTGCGCGGCCGTGAGGACCCACTGCTGGTGGATGAGGGAGCCGCCACAGACGTATACGCCCAGGAACAGGATGCTCACCTGCCATGGCCACTTGCCCACCTCCACCAGCTGCCCCTTCACCACCTTGCAGGAGATGTTGGTCTGACCACAGCCCTGGAACAAGGGATCTGAGGGAAAAGGTAGAGAGGGGGCCATGCCAGCCCCGTGTGGACCCTCAGGCGGCAGAGGCAGCACGCAGATCCCTGAATGGCCGACTGCGGAGGCAGAGGGGGCCGCCTGCCAGCCGTCACAAGCAGCCACTGCCACACGGACTTGTAGGGAGAGTCCTTTCCCACATCCAAAGGCCCAGAGACAGCAGGTGCCATGTGTTATAAAGAGGGACCCCAACAATGGGGACTAGACAATCCCTCCCGGGCTTATTATCAGCCATTGCCCCAGGATTCATCCCTCTCTCCCTGTTTGCACAGCAGATGGTTTGGGGGAGTGAAGGAGAAGAGAGAATCATCAGAGGGGTGAGCTGTCAGTCAAGGGGTCGGTGACAGGGCACAAGTGAGCGGGGCCGCTTGTCGACGTGGTCAGAAAGCAATGGACAGTGACGTCACGTCGTACAAGCCCCAGGCCTGCCTCCACGGACCACCGCCCTGGAGCTGTCCTCTCTGTGACCATACGAGGAAGCGAGCAGAGACGCTTGTCACTTCCCTCCCTGCCCCTCACCGGCCCCCAGAGTAGGAGGGAGAGGAAAGGAGCCCGCACTGAGCGGGTTATGAGGTTGGGATTTTTGAACTGGACCACCTTGGGTGGGAAAGGTTGGAGAAGAGGAAAGGTTGGGACCCAGATTGAAGACAAATGAAATAGCCTTCTGCCAAGTGTGGGCTGGCCAGCGAGCTGCTCCCTGTGATCACAGAGGCGAAGCTGGACGTGTGCTGACATTGTCCCCAACTGGCACAGGTCCAGAAAGTCGCTCAGCAGCTCGGCATGCAGTGCCAAGCAGAGCAGCAGGGACTCAAAAGCGGTAACCAAGGCTTGTCCCCGCCGTGGGGGGCGGGGGTCTGTGATGGCAGAGGAGGGGGGTGCAGCAATAAATGGGCAAGGCTAATAATCTATGGGGACACATACACTTCAGCAGAAACATCTGCCGGGCCCTTCCTCGTAGCAATTCCTCAGAGGGTCACAAACCATTGATGTGTGGGCTCATTCTCCCGTGTCCCAGAGCGCCTGGTCCTAACAGGTGTAGATGGCTGGTTCCCTGGCTGGACACGTTCACCGTCAACCAAGGGCCTCCCCCAGGAATCCATGGGGACCCACACAAGCCCTCGCATCTCCACGGAGCTGCGTCTCGCTTTCTCCCACACCATTCCATTCTCGCCAGGCCCCTGTCATGGCGTACTAGCCTGTTTTCTTTCTCCCAAAAGGGAGAGCCTCGTTTCCGGCCCATCCCATACCCTCTGGTGGGTGAGTGGCCACCTCGTTTCACAGTCTGTTCCACTTTGGGAAGAAAGAGAGGGCTTCCAGGGGCTTCTCTTTCTTTTCTCACAGGGCCGAGGCCCCACGGAGCCGGGGTCCTGCAGAATGAATGTCACCACCTAAAACGTGACAGTTCTCGGGAGCAGGAGTGGGCCGCGCCCTCAGTGGGTTCCCAGTGTCGGGGAGCAGCCCTCCTCAGAACCATGTCCTGGACTACGTGGACCCCAACCTCCTTCCCCAAAACCTCACACTGGATTTGCAGGATTCAGCCTGGGGACGCCAGCACCACGTGCCAGCACCAGGTACAACAGTTGTATCTGGGGGGAGCCAGAATGGATTATCTGAGGATGGGAAGTGTTGCCAATCAGCCTTGTCATAGGCACAGTGTCACCATTCCATACCCAGGGGACATTCATTGGCTCAAATGGAGCCCACTACGCACCACCTCTACGTAGCCCTTCTTGGCATCCCAGAGTTGGAGCACTCCCCTTACAAGCTGTGCCCTAATGTCACCACCCACACTCACACATGGTGACAGGAAGACCAGTCTTGGCTCGTGACCTCTGTCCCTATAAGGTCACAGCCCCCTCTCTCCCACACCATCAAAGGCACAGCCTTCGGCTACATGGAGAAGTGCTGGTCCTTGCCACCCCAGAATGTTATAGATGCCTGAGGGCAGGGCAAAGTAGGAGGGCACCCATTCATTCATTCGTTCATTCACTCACTCGTTCAACAAGGCACTGGTCCAGGAAGGGGAGTCATACAATGAGGTAAAAAGACAAAGTCCCTGAGTTGGAAGACACAGCCTTACTCACAGATGCCATGCCAGCAAGTCCTCTGCCAAGAGGCGGAATGGGCAGCTGGCAGGTGACCTGAGCCAAGGTTGCCACCACGAAATTACATATGGTCAGTTAGGGTGGGAGCTCAGAGACCTCCCATCTCATGGGGCCACAAACTTTTCACCCCCAAAGAGCCTACTAAAAACCAGTATTGAATCCTGGCTCCACGAGCCACTTAAATTCTCTGGGTCTCGGCTTCCCATTGTGAGATGGGGATGTGGGTATAGCCCAGCTCACAGGTTGTCGAGACATAAAGCTGTCTGAGAGCGCCTTGTGTAGGGTGAGCGGTGACTCACACACCACAGCGTCATCAAGTCCTGGTTCTCCCGGATCTTGTCTCCCAAAGAAGCTCATCTGTTCCACAGATGTCGACTTGTGCTCCAATTTGTAATAAGGCTCTTTCTTCCCTCATGTTCTGTCACCCTGTAAACTGGAATGGCCTCGACACTGTCTCAGTCCCCAGGCGTGGCACATCACATGGTAAGGCCGTGCCTGTCAGGCATGAGGACAGCTGACACAGGCGCCCAGGCAAACAGACTCCTCCTGCACCTCTCCCATGTCCCCAAAGCCCTACCTTTGACATAGAATGGAGTCCCAAGTCCAGCAGAAGAAAATGGAGCCGTGAGGCCCTGAAGATTCCCTGATCCGCAGGCCATGGCAAGCAGGTGCCCGGTCCTTACTGGTTCTCATAACGGAACGTGGGGCCAGGGCATCTCCAATGTGTGAGGATTCTAGAACTCATGGTTTGTTTATTCAAGGTAGCAGGGAGTAGGCCTCTGCCCCAGGGCTGGGGGCTCATGCAGCTGGGGCAGCATCAGGATGCTGAGAAGGAGAGAGTGTGGCCACAGCAAGGCCCCACCAAGGCACAATGCGATGCTGCTTCCAGGAACCTCCCTAGAATGCTATACCTGGTACCCAGTGCTGAGCCTGTGACAGCGCCTGGTGTCTGGCCCACGACAGTGCCTCTCAGGCTCAGCCTGGGTGTTGGTGATGTCCCTGTATGCCCAACCCTGAGCCTGCAACAGTACCAAGTATCTGGCTAGTGACAGTTCCTGGTGCCTGCCCTATGAGGCAACCCTAGGACCCAGTCCGAGCTCCCTTATGAAGCCCTTCTGCTGCCCCTCCCCCCGGAAGTGTGGAAACTGAGGCACAGGGAAGGGGATGGCTAGTTCCTGCTGTGGGTGATTGAGCTAGAGCTGGAGTTTGCCTTTTTCCCACAGGTTCTGTATTTTCAAGAGAACCTGGGAGGGTGGCTTCCTTAGAGGAAACAGCCTGCAGGGCTGGCTCTTCATGAATCAGTGGAGAGAGAGAGAACAAAGAAGACCCAGGGAAAGAAGCCCCTCTCTGCTCTTCTGCCTGTGGTTCAGGACAAAAGCTTTAAACAGAAAAAGAAAGTTACTTTACGCTGAAAAAAATTAAAATGGTGATGACTATATAACGTCATAAAGTTCCACTCATCAATAGCACAACATCAAATATTTGAAGCGAAATCAACTGACGATATGCGAGAAACTCAAAAACTCACTTGTAGTGGGAGAGTCTTCGACTCTGTCTTTGAGGAATGGAAGAACCATAAAAACTGACCGCTCACTAGACTGCTGGGGAAACCACAATAACTTCCCTAAAAGCCGAACGACTTTGGGCCACACTTTTTACCATGATGCAATGAAACAAGGATTTAATAACAAGAGTAAGCAGAATAAACCAAATCGTTTGAAGATTTTAAACTTGTAACTTGTTTTGAAAAAATAAAAACATTCTAAAACTTCAGAAAATACTAATAGAGCAATGAATTTTAAAAATGTATTGGGTGTGTTCAAGACAAATCCATAGCCTTTAAAGTTCTTATTATTGAATAACAAAAAGTGAAAATAAATTAATTAAATGCTAAAATCAGGAGACTGTAAAAGTTACCGAATAAACCCAAGGAAAATCTGTAGGAAGCATATACAAAATATAAAAATATACCCTAATCAATTAGGACAGCAGAATTAGGAATGAACTCCATAATCCAGATCTTTGAAAAAACAAATATTAAATAGGATGAAAGGCATATTTTATATTGATAGGATATACCCCACCAATATGGTATAGCAGGCGTGAACCTTGCACTCCTAACAACACAGCTTTGGAACATAAAGCAAGAATTATCTGTCTATAGCCATGCCAACCCGAACAAGCCCGATCCCATCTGATCTCAGAAGCTAAGCAGGGTTGGGCCTGGTTAGTACTTGGATGGGAGACCACCTAGGAAGACCAGGTGCTGTACGCGTAAACAATAAAAAAAATAAGGGATTGTAAGCTGATAAGGTCCTTGCAATCTGTGAGGTCAACCAAGGGTTGCCTCGCCTAAAAACCAAGGGTGTCCCCGCCTAAAAAAAAATAAAAAAAAAAAAAAAAAAAGATGTATCAGAAGTGCAAGAAGAAATAGACCAAGTCTTAATTTCCGTGGTAAATCTTTCAAAAATCAATGGATTATACAGACATGAAATATCTGAAGTATTGAAAGGATTTGAGTAACACAATCAACAAGCCTGATCCAGTTTATAGCTAGAACACTGTTTCAAAACACACCATTTTCATTCAAAAGCACATAAAACATTCACTAAAACTAACCAACTACCAAGCGCAAATAAAACCTCAATCAATTCCAAAATGCAGAAACAACTAAGTCCATATTGTGATATAACTTTCAATAAAGAAAAAAGAGATGCCTCTACCCCTCCCCCAGATTATCCACCAGGAAATTAAATAACACCCTTCTACGTAAATAAGAAATACGGCGTGAAATTTAAAATGTAGAAGTGAATGACAATGAGGTCAATACGTATCAAACGCTATGAAATATGACCAAAGTGAGACTCAGAGGAAATTTTATGAAAGCGAGTGAAAACCAGAGAAGTCTATAATAGTGAACCAAGCGTACTCAAGAAGTTAGAAAAAGAACAAAATGAATCCCCTAAGAGTAGAAAGTTGAAATTACTAAAGCTAAATGAACTTTAATGAAATAAAATAAAAAGAAGCAGATCTGATCTCTCAAGCTAGTTTGTACATTCAGGAGTTCCCGAGTAAGAGAAACCTTCAAACAGCCTTAAAATTTCTGTCTTCTCTCTTCAGTGGTACAGCTTCATCCTGAGCTGGGCCCCTGGTTGAAAAATGGTTGCTAACGGCCCACCCCTCCTTCCACTCCCTCATCCACCTTCACGGAGAGAGTGCGCAGGTGTCTTCTCAAACCAGGCCTTAGGTGACAGGGATAACCCCTGAGGTCAGTGGCCGGGGCGCTGGACCATGCTCACTAGTCATGCCTACAAGGCACCGCTCCTGGGAGCTGGGAGTGTGACAGCTTCCTCCTGGGGAACACCAGCAGCATGGCGGAGGGTGTGGGCTGACCAGAACCTGGGGTAACGAGGAGAGGATGAGTACCATAAAGCTAAGCAGATGGTTTTTTGTAAACACCTAAGAAATAGACAAAAATTTGGTGATTCTAATCTTTAAAAATGAAGAAAAGAGAATGAGTACACGTATCAGTAATATTAGAAATAATAAAGGGGCCATAGATTCAAATTTTACACATCAGTTTGAAAATTAAAAATCTAAGCTAAAATATATATATGTAAAATAAACATTTTTTAAAAAATAAATAAAAATCTAAACTAAATTAAGTGATTTTCTATCCTAAAATTAACACAAGAAGTAGTGGGACACTCAACTAGGCCAGTAACTATAAAATTGAATTAGATAAGACAGTTTTGCAAGATGGCCAAGAATCGAGATCACTATCTTTTTTTTATTCATCAATAGCTTTAAAATACCTCACATGTAGGATAAGAAAAAAGCATGATGGGCAAAGATATTATCCACAACGGACATAATCAAAGTTTGTAAAACACTTAGAAAGAAACTCAATATTTTTCCAGACATCCGTGAATAGAAGAGCTGAATGAAGACATGTATCAGAACCCTGGTTAGGGACTCTACATGGTAAAAATGAGAGTTATCCCCAAATTAGCCTGCGTGTTTAATTTCAATTCAAATACAAATAGTATTTTTAATGGAAATTACAAACTGATTCTAAAGTCGAGACGGAAGATGAGCGTAGAAGATCAGGCAATTAAAAAAACAGGAAGAGAGATTTTGCTATCATTTAACAAAACGTAACATAAAGCTGATTGAAACAGTACAGCACTAACCCAGGGACAGACAAACGGATCATTAGGGAAATGGTAGAGGGTTCAAAACCACACTCATGAATATATTGGGATTTTGTTATTATCAAGGTGGATATTCAGATCGGCACAGTCAAAAAGATGGACTCTACGAGAAAGTGTCAACAAAGTTGGTTCTCCAATTGGAAACAGTTCATCTCTACCTCACACCACACATAAACAGAAATTTTAAATGGATTACAGTTACACATAAAAATTAATTTATCAAAATATTAAAAAGAAATATAGAAAGAGAGCTTTTATAATCTGGAGATGAAGAAAGCCATCTTAAACAAAGCACAGAACCCATAAAGCAAAGACTGGCTGTTTTGACTCCATAATAATTTTTAAAGTCTCTATGGGAAAATTACCATATTTCTAATCCACATATTTCTAAAAGACAAGTGGTTCACCAGAGAAAATATTTGTTAAATAACTGACAAAGGCTTCATATTCAGAAAAGATAAAGACCTTTCATAAGAAAAGATGAGCAACCCAATGTTTTAAAAAGGCAAAGTATATCAACAGGATTTACGAGAGAAAAGGCACACCTGTTTTCCAATAAACACATGAAAAAACATTTTTCCAATTAAAAAAAATGCAAATTAAAACAGCAATGATGTAACTTTCTACCACCGGATGGGCACAAGTTTTAAAAATGTATAATGTCCACTTTTAGCAAAAGGGAACACATTCCTTCTAGCGTACTGTAGGTGTGGATGTAAACTAGTTCAGATTCAGGAGTGAATTTGATAGTATTCATCCAAAATGGTTAAATTCGTGTTTCCTTTGACTCTCCTCAGCTCACTCCTAGGAAGGCAGCCGAGGACCTGCTGTGGGGAGGGCCCCCTCCCCCGTCACCTGTGCCGGCAGGTGTGTGTTCACGTGTTCATAACAGCACGGCCACAGTGCTAACAAGTCAGAAACAGCCTAAAAGCCGATGCCGGATAAATCCCATCGCACAGAACACATGCAGTGATGTGAAATGACGCATCGCTCTAGGTACTGACATAGAAAGGTTTTCAAGGCATGTAATTTTTAAAAAGGTAGGTTCCTACTAATACATACATAAGATCCCATTTATTTAAAAATCTTAAAGATATTTTATTTAAGGTTGCGAACGATGATTATTCCTGGGGACGGGAACAGCACCGGTAATGGGAGTGGGTGGGAGGTGGGGGTCTTTAGATGTATTTCTGAATTTTCATAGATCGCAATGCCTTCAGATATTCCTTATAATTTTTTTAAAAAACATTTGAAAAAATATAGAGGTAAACATGTAATACTTTTGTAATCAGTATTTTTAAATGCCATTTAAAAAAATGAAAGCTGATTTTAGAGCACTGTATGTGGGCCCTGCTTCCTGTCAGCCCACAGAGTACCCAAACGGATCCCTACAGTTCTCCCACTTTACAGATGAGGAAACTGAGGCCCCAAGCCCAGGTCCTTTCCCTATGCCCCAGCACTAGTGATACAGCAAAAACCACCAGCCCCACTCTGGGGCATCACCTGGCAGAATTAACTCTAGGAGACGCTGC